GTGTTGCAGATGAGCATTTGACCGGCATTTACAGGTGATTATAGGCGAAATACAGTAGAGAAACATTAAGACTTTGGTACATTTCGTGTTTATTTACCTTTTTTTTAATTGAGACGTTCCAAGTGCCTGTGCGCAGAACGGGGTTGCTATTTATCGAACCCCGACCAGCCAGTCGCAAGTGCCTGTGGCTGTGGATCAAAACTGCGGATCGCAGTAGTAAAAGACCGCAGGCCATACTTAACGTTTAACTTTTACTAATGAAATTCCATGCAACACTTAACTTTATAAATGACGTTATCGCATTGAGGAATAAAATATTTTAGAAAAGGTTATCCAACAAATTTGTGTAATTTTGACTCGATCTTTTGTTTTGCGTGGGAGCTTTTACATAAATTTCGGAAAGCAAGCCCGGATTACTTAGCGCTACCGCTGCGTATCGATAACCAAATGAATTTTAAACTTATTTAACGGTCATTACCTATACCGCCGAGAAGGATACATAGTTTTAATACAAGCGATATAGTTATGAGACAACACACAACTTACAAAAGACTTGCCTAGATACGAAATCAACGGCGGACATCATACTTGCACTAGCACAAACATCAGTCGCCCAATCCGGAGATCCGGTCACTTGCTCTACTACGCGTGAACCTTACAAGTAGGCGCACAAAGACCGGGCATAGAAAATTGTACTGTGCGCCCAGCACTCTAAATATGGAGTGTTTATGCAAATTATGTGCAATACGATGCTTTCAAAAGCAATTTGATAATAGATAAAAAATCCCATATGTTTGCTAATGTATGAATTGTTGATTGATTGATTTATTTCGATAATTAACAAAGCATACATTACATCGATAACAGCATAAATAAACAAAATGCAGCTAGAAAATTATCGAGGATGAAAACACAAAAGCGTGGCTAACACACTTATTTCCATTGAATATAATAGACCTTGAAACTAAAGTAAATCGTGAAATTAAACATGTCAAGAACTGGCTGGATGCTAATAGATTGTCTCTTAATTATGAAAAAACGAAATATATGATCATTGGTAATAAAAAAATTAATTATGATACTTTTGAGATTTATATTGATAACTATAAGCTCCAACGTGCTAATAATATAAAATATTTGGGTGTACACTTCGACTGTAAACTAAAGTGGGACTTTCACGTCAAATTTATCAGCACCAATTAAGTTAGCTAAATCTGCCGGAATTATATCTAAACTTAGGCACTATGTTAATGTTAACACACTTAAAATTATTTATTTCTCTCTCGTGTACCCTTACTAATGATGCTATATTAAGCTTGGGCCCGTCGAGCAACTTCCCAACCTAATTAAAGCCAGTATCAATAAGTAATATTTCAATTATCATAATACATGAAGCTGTTGTGTGAATATGAGAGATCAGTGATCACCCTATTTCTTCAAACTTGGTTATCTTTTTAAAACTTTTGACATTTAATAAACGTTGATAGCTAGCTAAATTCATGATATAAGGTATACCCACAATGAATGCTAACCTGGTCTATTTGTGTAACTACTTCATTCAGAATTTGTCATGTACAATCAACTCACCAGACTTGGGCAATCATCAATGTCGTATCAGACCATTACCAAGGTACAATACCTTATTCTTGCGTAAAAAATCATTAAAATTGTAGGTGATTAAACTCTGGAGCGGACATACTGTATATTATGAAAAGTTGTACCCTCTCCAAAATTTTATGTACTTTTTTAGGAAATAGACTTATGTAACAACTGCTATATGTAAATGCCTTTCAGTTATTGTTTGTGTATTGACTTTGAGATATTGTTATAACACGTGCTTTTTATGTTGTTGTATGGTTGTTATTATATTCTAATTTATGAGCTTTGGCTAACCTATGCTTATGAACGACCTGTAGCGGTTATTGAATGAACAGTGGCCGTAGCCGAGCTTTCTATTGGGGGGGTTCTGTTTTGTCAAATGGGGTGCAATTTGCTCAGGTCAGGGGTGCGTGTAGCGCACAGGATTTGTACCAGAGGGGTCTAACCGTAACCCAGAGTTGCGAAGCACGCGAAGGAGGGTCTGTGAAGAAGCAAATATTTTTAAAAATTACGACCCCCTAGATGAGTTTTCTGCGCGAGCAAGGGGGTCCAGACCCCCCTGCTCACGCCCGGTTGCTCGGGCGCCGAATGTTGCGAGCCAGGCAGAGGAGCGCAAGCGACGGCGGCGGGGGTGGGAGGGGGTGGTTTCACTGTTACCCGTCCTCGACGAATGGAGAATTTTGCTGATTATACTAAATGGAGCGACCTGGGTCAAATTCTTGCAAATTTTCGCCATAATGTATTTTTTTTTGTTTGGCGGGCAGGGGCTCGCTGCGGGCGGGGGGGGTTCGTTCGAACCCCGAACCCCTTGGCTGACTGGGGCTTTATAATCGTGTATGTTACTATTCGTTTTTATTTGTTGTTATTCTATTACAATGAATTTACATGCTATAAATTCATCAGAAATGTAATGATCATGGGAAGCCAAGGTATTATACAAAACCGCGTCTTTGTGAAAAAGATCTGCTTACAAGTTCTGTTGTTTGAAACTCGTGGAGCGTACACATACCTGCACATTCCTTTAATATATAAAGTTTACACTTCCCGCAAAATTCTAATATTTTTCTTAGAAATAGCTTATTTCAACTATATATATGTAAATACCTTGAACTTATTGTCTGCTGTACTTTAATATTGTAGAAGTTGTAGTATTATAACCTAGTATTGTATAAGTCTGTTAGATGTTGTTTATATGCTGTACATTCTAATTTATGAACTTTGTAACTATGTTTATGAACGTGTGCTGTACATATAATGAGTATGTACTATTTAGTATAATTTATTTATCTTTTTCTCATCTTATTCACACTGTATAAATACGTTTAATACTCAAATCAAAATCAACTTGAACCTTGCATCCTACGTACACCAACGTGGTGTTATATTTGTCGATTCTTTTATACCTAGATAGATCTTATCGTAATTAATAGCTTTATTAACTGAACTCGTAGTCATATGATTCAGCTGCCTGTTTATATACTAATATTTTTGTTTTTTAGGGGTGGCAGACTTTGATGACCTGAGGGAATTTCGCCACCCCAGTGCTATATTTATCACATTATGTATTGTGACCTTTCATTCTAATATGTATCGTTGTATACTGAGTGTAAATATGTCTTATGCACAAATAAATTATTTGAATCTTGAATCTTGAATCATTGTGATCCAACATAACATTGTACATACTATACTATATAAACTATAGCAAATATACCCACGATCCCCAAAATTTCTGAGTGATACAGTGATACAGTACAAAACATTGACATACAGCATAAAGAAAAAATATATACAAAAAAAACTTCAGCATATTATGTACAAGTAAAGTGATTAAGGTAAGTGTTGAGCTAGCTGTTAAAAAGAAAAAAAAGAAAAAAGAAAAAAAGAAAAAATAGAAGCTTTCTGAGTGATACGATACAAAACAGTGCTATATACCATATTAATGAAGAAAAAATATAAACGAGAAAAAAATTCAGCATATTCTGTACAGGTAAACTGATTACGGTAAATGTTTAGCCGGTAGAAATGATGTTTCCTGAGTAAATACAGTACAAAGCAGTGCAGAACAACATGAAGAAAAACTAAACGCGACACAACCACACAATCTTTTCTTCTCTCTCTCGTCTCTCGCTCTCTCTCTCGCTTCGTCGGTCATCTCTCTTATCTGCTCTCTTCGCATCTCCTACACGTGTCGAATACAGTTAGAGCTGCAAATCGGTGGAAAAATCATGCATTCTCTAATGACGGTGATTCCGCTGTTGCTGGCAGGGTCCGATTGCACCACGCACCGGATCGGTGGCAAAGCTATCATGCCATTCTACGT